CACTCACGAAACACAAAAATACAGGCGGTTCTCCGACCGACTCCGCTCTGCCCCCCCCCCCCCCCCCTGCAGGATGTGATGGTTCGTAACGACAGCCCCTGTGGGACCACCATCGGACCCATCCTGGCGGCTCGGCTTGGCGTTCCCGTGGTGGACATCGGCGCTCCGCAGCTGTCCATGCACTCCATCAGGGAGATGTGCTGCACCTCCAGTGTGCTGCAGAGCACCACCCTCTTCAAGGTAAACAACACTGTTTACAGTTTTCTGCTGATGACCCACAAAATGAAAGTTATTCAAACCGTATTACCGGTACTCAAGTGTACAAGCTTTACTAATATTGCATTTCACAAAAAACAATCTCATCAAACATTTAGGTTTTTATGTCTTTAGGAACTTCAAGTTTGTCTTTTTGTCACAGTTCGGCTAAATCTGCTGTTAGCAAACATTTTAAAAGTTTGTTTGAGTTCTGTAGATCTTCTCAAGAACTAAAACTTGGTGTTTCATGACACCAAATTTGTGAATCTCAAGTTTAGTTAACTGGTTTTGACACATATTAATTCTTCTTAATGATTTTTATTGTCTGTGAGATTAGTCATTCATCTTTGACTCAGTGTCAGATTTTATTCACCAATCTTTATTTTCAAAGTTTTTACGTTGTATTTTAACCTGATGCATCCATTTCCTGTCTGCTTTCTGCCTTTGCCCTGTCTGTTTCCTGTCTACTTCCTGTCTGGTCCTTGTCTGGTTCTTGTCTGCTTCCTGTCTGGTTCTTGTCTGCTTCCTGTCTGGTTCTTGTCTGCTTCCTGTCTGGTTCTTGTCTGCTTCCTGTCTGCTTCTTGTCTGCTTCCTGTCTGGTTCTTATCTGCTTCTTGTCTGCTTCCTGTCTGGTTCTTGTCTGCTTCCTGTCTGGTTCTTGTTTGCTTCCTGTCTGGTTCTTGTTTGCCTCCTGTCTGGTTCTTGTCTGCTTCTTGTCTGGTTCTTGTCTGCTTCCTGTCTGGTTCTTGTTTGATTCCTGTCTGGTTCTTGTTTGACTCCTGTCTGGTTCTTGTCTGCTTCCTGCCCACTTTCTGCCTGCTTCCCATGTCCTTCCTCTCTGCTTCTTGTCAACTTCCTCCTGCAGGGTTTCTTTGAGTTGTTTCCAGCCATCAGGAGCTCGCTGGTGGTCGACTGATTTTCATCACTACTCTGGAAAACGGATTTATTTATGTTTGAAGAGACTGAACCTTCTTGTTTTATCTGTGAACAAAATAAAACAATCAAGATTTTTTTCATATGAGAAGCTGATTTAGAAAATAAAGTGATAAAAATCTTTGTCCTGCGTGGTTTTGTTACCGTCTCCAGCAGAATTCAATCGTGTTAAAAGCACAATCGGAGGCGACGCGCCTCCTGCAGGAGAAGCTGCAGTGGTTTAATTGAACTAAAACGCAGTGAGCTGCATCGTGTGCTGCTCTGCCACAAGTCCTGACAGGTTCCTGGCTCTGAGAGGTAACTCTGAGAGCCAAGTCTTCTCTTTACAGATGAAGCTGGTTGGGAGGTGGTCCATACCATACCCCTTTATTTATAAAGCACTTTAAACAGCAACAAGGCCAACCAACGTGCTGTACAGCAAAAACAAACGAGCAAAGAACACAGCAATAAATACATAGATCACACAGAGGTAAAGATGAGAACTAAACGGCTAACGTTCTAGAATACAGACAAGTTAAAATCGGCTCACAGTGTCAAAAGCCTGGGAATAAAAGAGTTTTCAAACAAAACTTCTGGTACATCTGGTTAAGCGCTGTGGGACATATGGCTGCAGCAGATCAGTGAGATAAAAGGGGGCAGAACTGTTGAGAGGTTTAAAAATGTAAAGAAATATTTTATAATGAATTTGTGAACCAGGAGCCAGTGAAGCGAGGCCAGAACTGGGGTAATGTGCTCTCTTTTGCCTGTACCAGTTAAAAATCAGGCTGCAGCATTTTGAACCAGTTGTAAACGTGCAATGGAGGACCGACTGATTCCAAAAAGAAGCACATTGCAGTAACCAAGCCTGGATGTTCGGAACGCATGTATTAGTCTCAAGGGTATTTTTGGACAGTATGGGCTTCAGTTTAAACCATTCCCTCAACTGATAAAAAACAGGATTTAACAATCATGTTTACATGACTGTTCAGTTTCATGGAAGGGTCCGTTTTCACTTCCTGATTAGTGACCACTTGTTTCTCTAGCGGGGCTAAAGAGGAAAGGTCGATACAGTGGTTCTTGAAACAACATGACTTATGTCTTTTCAATGATTCAAGGTTCTTTATTTGTCATTGGAATAAAATTGTGTACACAGGGTCCCAGTTACATCCAACAAAAGTACTAAAATGTAAAAGGGAAACCGTAATAAGACCTAAGATACGAACTAAGAAACACGTTAACTAAAAAAACACTAAGCACTAGTAGCATAGGAACAATACGCCGAACAGCAGCACGAACTTTTCAAGTTCAAGTCATGTTTATCGTTATTCGCATCATGTGGTACATGAGGTGGAACGAAATTGTGTACTCAAGGTCCCAGTTGCACCCAAAAATGGCAACAAAATAAAGTGTAAAAGGAAATGGTATACAAATCTGATGTATACCAAGATATACGCGGCTAAACGGTATACTAAAAGATCTAAGATACACTAAACTAATGTAAAACAATATGGCGTATCAACAGCAGCCTGAACATGAGTCTGTGGTGAGCAGATGGGTATGAATGAATACAGTAGTGTGAGATAATCAGCAGCACAGACAAGTCACATTTCGCCAATTTTTCTGATTAAAGTTTAAGAAATTCAAAGTCATCCAATCCCTGATGTCAGTCAGGCAGTCAAGAAAAGGTCGGATAGAGCATGCACCAATGCACTTCAGAGGGATATAAATTTGACAGTCATCAGCGTAAAAATGTAAAGGTATGCCACGTTTACGAAAAAGAGCACCTAGTGGCAGCAGGTATAAAGAAAAAAAGAGGACCGAGGATGGATCCCTGTGGTACCCCCCACCGAAGAGCTGCCGATATTGAAGTAAAATCCTTGATGTTGACACAAAAGGTTCTGTCGAAGAGGTAGGACCTAAACCATCTGTGATGCCCACCCACTGTTCCAGCCTAGAAATGTGGATGTCATGGTCAGTGGCTCATGTGATGAAATATTTTGGAGTGGGACATTCTGAGATCATCTTAATGAAAAGTCAACATTAATATTAAACCATGTCAGGAGGGGTCCAAACTGAACTGTCTTCACAGTTCCATCAGTTTTCATTCATATATTAACTGAGCTACAGAGATAAATGCAGCCTCCACCACGTTTTAGTGAGAGATTTAGTCCATCTGAGTCATTTAGTCAAACCTCGGCTCCTCTTTGTGTCCCTTATCTGAAAGTGACTTCTTTTCAAGCAAACGCTCCGTTAGGATCATTTCTGAGGATTTAACGACCAACTGGAGGAGGATGCACATCTCAGGTTCTGATGTTCTTAAAACCACATCAGATATTATGGAAGTTCATTTCTGCCTCCAAAAAAGTCATAGGTGTTACATTTCTTAAAATGCATAATCGTTTTGATGTGTTATTTCATTCATTTATTTATTTTAATCTCATAAAGCTTACAATTTGTCACAAGACTTTTAATTTTGTAGTGACTATGACCTTTTCTCATAACGGACTTTGTCAAATGCATGACTTTGTGTTTCATGAATAACTTTTTTTGTCCCATAAGTTAGAGATGTATTCTAATATTTTTGATTTTTTTTGTTAGATACTTAAGATTTTTGATATATATATATATATATATATATATATATATATATATATATATAT